GACCATACAGCAATCGTGCACGATGCCGCACGTGTACAGCCTGCAGGGCTGTATTAGCTGCTGGGGGCACGATATCGAGAGAGAGGAACGGTTACCTTACTACGCTGACTGTCAACGTTTTGTTATCTACTCCCAATTTTTTGCGAGGAGTGGTACCCCCGCCATCTCCCGATTGGGTCTGCCTCTACTGGGGTCTTGGGCCTCTTTTCATTTTCTCTCTCCTCTTTCTCCCCTCCTTGCCATTTGCTTTTATTCCTTCACGGTCTGAGCCAGGGTGAACGACTGGGATGCACACAGACTCCAAGGACAACTTCCCTCTTCATCTCCTGAAGAAGCGCTATCTAGTGCGAAACGTTGAGAAAATCAAGCTCCTCCATCATCTTCCATTATATAAATCATGTTATGTAATTATGAACTTTTCAATCATGCTTTTTCAATCATGTTCAATTGCACAAGAATTCTGATTGTCATCTACATATGAATGAATTTAATCAATGTGGAGTGAGTTTATAGGGGAATCATGTTGTCAATTTTATCAATTCTATTTGCTTTTTAATCAATTAAAATATACTTTTTCAAGAAATTCTTGGTGTGCAAGTTGTCAGTCGGCTGCCTAAAAAACCCCAACTTTTCTGACTTTTCGATACACGATGCCGCATTGTCATGGAGTTACCCATCACAGACGATCGCGCTCTGGGTGCCATTATTTTCTAATGGCACCCCAGTTGCGCTGGGCGCATCGTGCGGTTTCCTGACGCATTTCTGGCCATGCATCCTAATACAGCCGCGCGTCATGTATTACAAAAAAAGTACATGTACTTTTTTTTTTTTTCTGCGATTGCTGTGCTGATGTACCCCATTGAAATCGCTATCTGCAATAGGCACGAGTGTGTGATCCCGGGATGCGCATCCTGTATGGCTCGGGTCTGTACCAGGCCTCAAGTTGACTTTTTTTTTTTTTTCCCTTCAAAGCCAGTCACCACATGTGATTGTTAAATCATAAAGTTATAATAGTGGTGGTCTACTTACTGGATGCAGAGGGCCTCAAGTGCAACTATCCCTAAACGACCCTTTAGCCTGACATCACTAAGTCCCTGTTCGTACTCTGGCATGAACGCACGCCAAAAGTGTCATGTGCACACATTGGCCCATATTCACAGAACGTGTTAAAAACATGCGATGTACTTGCTTTGCCATAACTTGTTAAGCTTGCAGCTGAAAATACTGCATAAGCTTTTTTGCCACGTTTGTCACATGTGCAGCAGCATATAGAAATGAAAGGGCTGATGCGCGGCAGCAAAAACGCACACGAAGATTCATTCACGCAGTGCTGAGGTGTGAACTGGGCCTTAAGGGCTGCAAATATCATTCAGTAAATGTACTGTTACAGAAAGCTGCAGGCATGCAACAAGTGATGTCAGATACTATGGACATGTTATAAGAGATGGTCAGAGCCTGTATACCTGCTATTGAAGACTGGGGACAGGTTTTAGGACAGGCGTAGTGAAACTTTGGCCCTCCAGCTGTGGTGAAAACTGCAAATCCTGTCATGTTTCGGGGAGTCATTCCTGTGGCTGTCAGCCTTGCAATGCCTCATGGGACTTCTACAGCAGCTGGAGGTCCACAGTTTAATTACCCATGCTTTAGAAGAATGTCACATTACATGAGAATGCTAGAGATCACTTATTACAGCCCCTTTATAAATTCATGTTTCTACATTAGGGTAACGTGATTACTGAATTGCTTCCTAGCTGGATGTTCAATGTAGTCTAGAGAAGAGACGACAGGGTACATTTTCTGATTGGCACCGATTTATTTTGAGTTTGCAGCTTTTGTTTTGAACATCAAAATATTTAGTAAATCTAGTTTGTGCTCTTGCTTTCATGGTTACATTTGCTGTCTATTAATAATAAATAATACAAAGCATTCCACACATTATATAATTCCGTCATTGTATTTCCCATGCAATGCAAGAAATGTATCCCTGTAAACACATGGCCAGTTTTCATTGGGGCTGACCCCTCATGATGTGTGTGCAGAGAGGTTACATATCAGATATTTGTGCCTGCGGGATATAATCATGTAGATGATAAATTAATACTTTCACGCTTTGTTTGTTACGCCGGCATTGCCTCTATAAGAGCATCTACAGGATTACTCTTCTTCTCGCTGCCTTCTAAAATAATCTACTGCAAACAGGCAATATGTATTTGATTCTAGTCAGATTGATCAAAGTGATATTAAAGCCTCCTTTTTAAAAAAAAATATTTCCTACAGGGAGACCTACTTTTTGATTTGAGGCTGTTGCCGTTTGTAATTCCTCGTTTTCTAGTGGGTCCCTGCAGCAATCTCTGCCCCCCCGTACGGGTGCCACCATCGTTCTAATGGAGGCCCCCGTGCACGCTCGTGGCTGTTTGCGTCCATAGACACACAGCCCTGTGGCAGACCATGCCCCTCCTCTACGCCCAACAATTTGATGGCAAAAGGAGCCTATGGCTCCTTTGTCCATCAGTATCCTCCCCCCTGCAACCAGGAAGTTTGGGGAACGGAGGATCGCTTTGGGACCGGCGGCAGAAACGAGCGTAGCGGACAGGTAAGTGTGGGGGGATGACGGGGGGAGAAAAAAGGTGCTGGGCCGTTTTTACTATAATGCCTAGAATGCATTAAGGTACAAAATGCCCAGACCTTAATACTACTTTAATGATGGCTTCTGGTAGCTATGGTTTACCGCACATTTCATATTGCTCTTTGCTTTGTTGGTTGCCGATATCAATTTCGCTAGACAGGACTCCAATTTTTAGGCGTTTGCCTGTTTTCCCTGTGCTTGTGTGGGTTACCTTCGGGTACTCCGGTTTCCTCCCACACTCCAATAGATGTGCTGGAAGATTCATTGGCTCCTGTCTAAATCTGCACTATGTGCATGTAAGATAGGGACCTTAGATTGTAAGCTCCTTGAGGACAGGGACTGATGTGAATGTGCAGTATTTGAAGCGATGCGTACATTGACGCTATAAATACTTGTAATAAAAAAATCAATAGCTGCAGCTCAAGTGAACTTTCCAATGCAGCATTTAACAGCGGCGTTTTCCTTTCTGACCAGGTTTCTTGGTTTCAGTATATAGGGTGTCACATGAAACATGGTCGCATCACAAAAGCCTCACCCAGCTTACCTGAATTGTGGGGTTCTTCTCCCTGCAGGCTAGTTTAGCTTTTTGAATTTGACAGTCCTGCGGCTCTGTCCACACAGCCCCGTCATCAATTCACAGATCTTTTGACAGAGGGACTTGGCGTTCTCAATTTGTAGTCCATTGACACTTCCTCCGATCCTTGTTACTTATTGTCCCTGCTAAGGTACAGACCTAGACGGGAGGAAGTCTGCAGGAGCCAGGGCATTGCACCCATGATCCTCTAATCGCGGTTGCAATCCTTTAATGGCTGCAATGCAAAAATATATTAATGCACATTTTTCTGTTGTGTGCATTTAATATATATATAATTTTTTTTTTTTTTTTCAAAGTTGGGATTTCCCTTTAAATAACAGTCTCTGTGGTCTGGTATGACTTTTTTAATCTCGTTCAATATGAGAATAACTTATTGATTGCTGTTCACCTTCATGTTTTAGTATTGGTGGAATGTAGTGACACGACCTCCTCGGTAGTACTAGTGATGCTGATCCCTCATGGCTCCCTGATATGAGTCATTGTATTCTATTATATCATATGCAGGGAAATTATTGCACAGCATTGCTCATATTGTGTGATACCACCTACTGGTCTATGGCACTTTCAAGATTGGTGACAATGTGTCCATCTACTCATTTGAGTGGAGAGGTGAGAGCTGTAACCAGTTAGCTGAGTGGCATGAGTAACTTGTTATACATGAGCAGTAATAGACACACCTTTTAGAAGTGAATGCCAAACAACTTAATCAAAGATCTTTACCAACCTAATAGAAGCTTCCTGTGTTAGATTGTCAGCACCATGGAGCCTGATTGGTTTACATTGCTGCCCCTTCCACTCCCAGTCTGCATCCTGCAGGACCTTTCAGTAGGCTGATGATATAAAGACACAATATGACACTATTTAAAGATATTTATAATGAATGTATAACTGCATTAAATGTGAGTCTTTATTATCTGCACACAGTTTTGCTTTACGAACTATAACCTGTGGTCAGGCGAGCAAGTGGATGAAGGGTTGACCTCTATTTTTGGGCTGAATCTGATTAATCTGTGCAGGCGGTGTGAGTCCGGCAGCAGGCAGTTTGCAGATTACCGGGTTCATAGCTAGGTCAAGGCAAAATCTCTGTTTTAGGGCTTGTTAACACCAAATGCAGACCAGATCTGCATGAGTTTCTGCACACGCAGTGCAGTGCATTGTGCCGCGTTTTTAGCCACGTTTTTGATGCTTTCCGGGCCGTTTTTGATAAACAAAAAAAAAAACATTTTTTTTTAAAAGTTTAGAATGTGCTTTTACCAGAGCGTTCCAGAGCAGGTAAAATAGGGTAAATGCTTAAAGAGCAAGAACTTCAGCTAGATTAGACAGGCAGACACCCCCTTTTGTAGAATAGTTGTTGCAAATCTTTTATCCAAGTGACAGACGGCACATCCAATGTCCAAAATAATTATGTGCAACTTAATTGTACAGGATATAAACATTTCTTTGTTAGTGTTGTGTTATTTGTAGTTGGTTGAGATTATAAACCTGGTGTTCTAGTCATGTTCTTTATAGTAGCAGCATTTAATGTGAAGGGTTATTATTGGTGCTTATTGGATAGGTGCCTTTTCATGTATTGTTGAAGATAAACTTGCTGGACGGACAGCAGGGTATCCAAACCTGTATAAAAATGCAGTGAGGGAAATATTTTGCTCAGCCAGAACACACAATTTTGAAGTTTCTAGGCTTTTTCTGTGTTTTAGTTTTTTTCCGTTTGTCATATAAAATGTATATATAAGCAGTGCTCATGTCTTAGGAGTAACAGTTTGTCCCTTTTCCTTCCAGGTGTGGCGGATGGAGTGGGTGGATGGAGAGACTATGGGGTTGACCCCTCTCAATTTTCAGAGACTCTAATGCGCACATGTGAACGTTTGGTTAAAGAAGGACGGTTTGTGCCAACCAACCCAGTTGGAATTCTCACTTCCAGTTACCGTGAACTGCTTCAGAACAAAGTACCTTTATTAGGTAAGTATGGATCACTAGGTACATGTGTAACACCTTTTCTGATTATTGTATGCCTTCATCTTGAGGTCAGGTTACAGGGCAGCTTTACTAAAGTTTGGATCATCCGCCAGTTTCCAATACCTTTTTGGATTTCTGAGATTTCCCAACAATACCGTAGTGTGCCTCTGCCCCTTTCTACCAGAATGTGAATTGTGGTGCCAAACGCTCTTAGTGCATTGCGGTTAGTTATTAGCGGGCCCTTAGGGTTAAGCTTATGCATTAAGGGTCCGTTCCAGACCAGACCAAAAAATACTGCATATCTCATTTTGTCTGGTCTGGAATGTACTGGAATGCATCCAAAAGCCCATTTTAAGTTATAAAAAAAAACAAAACCCCGTCTCCAGAACGCAGCAATAACGCGATGCACGGCATTCCAGATCGGGCCTGGGAAATGGTGTGAACCCAGCCGTAAGGTTACTGTCAAGGCTTTTGGAGGCTTCTGAATTCCCCAAGTAGAACACTAATTACTGAAGTACCATGAAATGTTGTGTGCTTTAACTTGCTTCCCTATGTGGAGTGTCAGAAGATTGCCATGTACCATGAAATGTTCTTTACTTTGGCTGTTCACGGACTGGACAGAGGGAGTCGTGGGTTTTTTTGTACTTCCATATTTATAATTAGCCCGGATAAAGATACCTTTTTAAATGTGTTCCTTCAATACTCAGAATCCAAAAGTAAAACCCTTCTTTATTTTTAATATTGCTAGACTTGCTGAGTAGTGGCTAGCCTTTTAAAAGGTGCATACTGTAATGTATCTGCTGGAAACTTGCAGGTCTTGTGATGGAGAATATGATGTTCTCTAGCTAAATGTAAATGTCAGATGGGAGAGCAGCGTGTTCTTCTGCAAGCCATTTTACTGCTTTCTAAGTATAGGCATTTTATATTAATAACTTAGTACACAGGATGGGAATGGGTTCAAAAAGAGACCACTGAAACTGATCCAAGTACTAAAATCTAGCAGCGAGCTCCTTACATCATTGGAAGTAATTAATATGATGCTGGTAGCAAAGTGAAATATTTCTATTACAGGAGATATTTTTAGGATTTTTTGGTTATACATTACATTGCACTATATAATGGACATTATTCAGGGTTTGTGCACATTGGTCTTTGTAAGCTTATGTGGTCGAAAGGATCCTGGTGTGAACTACTAAACACAAGTTTAAGGCCTCATTCACACTGCCGCGCATATGTGCGTATTGTACCATATGCAAATCAATGGCTCCATACACATAGCCGCGTATGGAGCCGTTTATTTGCGTAGCGTATATATGCGCAAAAACAGAATGGAACAGAGATGCGTCCGGGCAGCGCATTTCTGCATATTTTACACGCCTACGCATGTTTGCGCGTGTATATGTGCGTACATTTCATTAAAATTTCCATTAGGAATTATGTATTCTGGGAATGCAAATAGTGCTCGTATATACGCAATATACAATTTTGCTTGCGTTGTGTGTGAATGAGGCCTTAGGCTGACATGCATTAAAGATGCTTCAAAAGATTATGTATATGTAATGTGTATTTAAGCTGCCGATTCACACCAGCGGGTACATGCTAAGGTGGCTGTGTATGCATTCTATGACGTATATCAAGGTTTTATTTTTTTTATTAATGTTGACAGTCCATTTAAAGTGACACTTAACTCCAGAGTTAAAGGGTCTCTAAACCCTCCGGTTGTTTTGCCTATATCTACTGCTAGCAAGCAGTAGATATAGGCAAAAAGTTTTTGTTTTTTTAAACGCAGTTTGAACTTACCCCTGTGGTGCGGCGCGCAGCGTGTGTGGAGTCGTGAACGGGACCAACTGATCGGAAGCCGATTAATCGATTATTGAAAAAGTTGACAACTTTTTCAATAATCGATTATAATCGATTATGTCGATTAGTTGTTGCAGCCCTACCTGTCTTCGCTGCGCGCTCCCATCCGAGAATCCGAAAATGCTCAGGTGGCCGCAAAGTATCTTGGGGCGGGCGCATACGCAGTTTGGATTTTCGGCCAAGAGACGCAAGGTAAGTCTATGGACACGTGCACCCGCGTGCAGACACCGTGGGACAGGAAGTGCCAGCGCTGGATTGGACACCCGCAGCGCTGGAGAGAAGGCTGAAAACGACAGGAAAGAAGATCGGATTAAGAGACATCATTTAAGGTAAGTGCTGACATTAACATTGGCGGAAGGGGGAAAGAATATCCTTTAATGTCACTTTAAATCTCCAAAATACATTCAAGTATTAACAAAAATATATCTTATTTGTGTAACACTCAGCTGTAGATCCTCAAATCATCTCTGAGTTGGATCCGACACTGTCCTTACTTCTGGAGGGGGGGCTACTTTTGTTCCCCATGGACCCACCCTGTGTGTGTTGTAAAGTAGTCATCGCTCCAAGCTCACTCTTGTGATGGACTACATTCTCATGTTTAGTTTACTGATTTGTATGCAGATTGTAAATCCATTACAGGAGTGATCTTGGAGTGGTGTGAAGGAAGGACAGTGTCGGCACCAATTCAGCCATGATTTGGGAGCTTCAGCCAAGTGATTACACCAATAAGATACATTTATGTTCATAGTTAAAGGAGAACTATGAGGTGAGTACTTTTCACTCACCTCCTAGTTCTAGCCGACCTGTGACAATGAGACTGTCACAGGTCGGCTCAGTAGATCGGGAGGTGAGCGAACACATACCGGCGTTCACTCACCTCCCGATCCTGTCACGGCTCTCTGCCGCGACGGGAGGGGCTGGATTCCCCCCTCTCCGCTCCGATCCTCCAGCGCTGACTGGTGGAACAGACGGGGGAGGGGGCGGGTAAAGCTGGCTCTGCCTCTAGATAGGCAGAGCCAGCTGTCGCTCACGCAGCTTGTCGGATCCAGACATAATTGTCGGGATCTGCTTCAGCTGTGGCGTCCCAGTATACCGCGAGCTGTAGATCGCGGTATCCTTAGCTTAGGGTGACGGGAGGATGCTAGTTTGTGTCATACAATGCACCATAGCATGCATACACAGCCACCATAGAATGTATTTTTAGTTTTACTGGCAGCTCTCTTCGAGGTGTTTTTGTGTGTTGCAACACGAAAAATGCAACATGTCGTCCTTCCTTTTTTTTTTTCCTTCTCTCATAAAGCAACAAGTGGAACTAGTAGGACATAATTCAAATTGCCTTGTCAATGCATTAGGACTGCGTTGGACAATGCAAGTGCCTGGTGTGAATGAGCCCATGACACCTTTTTAAAAAAAATTTATATATATTTAATACATGTCCCATTGACAGGAATTAAATTGATTTGAATTAAACAGAATAAAGCAGACATGAAAAATGGGACAAGCTGTATTCATAAGAAACACAATCTGAAAGCAAAGATCATTTCTTTGACCTGCCCTGTCAGATTCTATTTCTAATAACATTGTGTCAGGAGCTTTAAAATTACACTTGTAGGGTTTCTATATTTAATAATAAAGGTCTGGATTCTGTTTGGAGGCCTTCTAACTACTATGAAATATGTGCTGACTTTTCTTCTGCAGAAGAAGTTTGTGTTGGACTGAAGTGTGACGCAGCATGGTAGATCTTTCATGTTACACAGAACAGTTTCTGTGATGAACTTTTCACAGCATGGTTTTAGCAAGCACATTTCAGCTTGACCTTGTTCATGGCTCACACTAGGCACGTTTCTCTCGTTTGAGCAGCCAAAACCTGTAATGATGCAGTTTATTGCAGGTGAGGCGTTTATTCCCATAACATAATCTTATTAGCATGCAGAACACTTCAGTGTTCTCTCCCTGATATTCACTGTTGACTGCATGAAATGTGCAACGAAGGGTATGTAGACATGTGATACAACCCCCAATATGTACTTCAAAGTGCAGTAACCAATACTCGGCAAAAAGCCTGAAGCTCAGCACACGTTTTACAGTCTGATTGTACAACCTCCTTTAGATCTACCAACAACTATATCATGCTGCTAACTATGGCCTGCCTGATTTAATGCAAATTGATTGGCTAGTTTAGTTGGTCACCATATTCCAATTTTGGTAAATCTAAAGTTGATTGTGCAAATATTACATGGTCGGTATGTTCTATCTATGGCAAGCTTAATAGCTGGTCCTGCTACAAAGAGAAAAACTATATGGTATGGATGTATTCAGTGTGGTGTTACTTTTTTTTTTGTTTTTGTTTCGTTGATGCCCTTGTGGGAAAAAAATGGCTGATAATTCAGATTGATCACATGTTTTGAAACAGGTTTCATGTTGAATAAAATCTAGTATAGTTTCTGTTAGGGATATCCGGTATATCGGCCGCCGAAACATATCAGCCGGTAATGGCACTTTTGGCATAATGCCGAAAGTGCCATTTTCCTGCCGATACATCGGCGCATCCCTGCTTTCTCTCCTCCCCGCTGGGCGCTGCTCTGTGTCCCAGCGGAGAGGAGCGAAAGTGTGACGGCCGAGCGCTGCGGGAGGAGACCGCCGTGAGCCGCCGGCGTCTCTCCTCCCACACCGCTCAGCCGCCTATCACAGTCCGGCAGAGCGGTGGGGGGGCGGAGACGGCCCACGCTGTCACAGGAGGCTGAGCTCTCCTCCCTGCTCCGCTCGCTCAGCCTCCTGTGACAGTGTGTCAGGAAGGAGAGCAGGCTACAAACACTCGACGATCAGTATTTGTACATAATTGAGGACATGGTATGTGTACTATAGCCTCAATTATGAATGAATGGGAAGTGATCTACATCACCTCTTGTTCATTCATAGTTGTAGTTATAGTAAACTTACTATATTCTCATGTTATCAATGAACAGGAACACTCAGAGGATTCCTGTTCATTTATAACAGGGGATACAGAAAGAGAGATTGAGGACTCTGTCCTCAATCTCTCTTTCTAGTTTAAAAGGGAAATATCAGGGGTCTAGACCCCTGATATTTCCCCGAAGCCCCTAAAAGTAAAGTAAAAAATTAAAATATTTCATAAATGAATTAAATAAATCATAAATATGAATATTATTAAAGTTTAGAAAAAATAAATACAAATAAAATATTTTTAAAAAATTGAAAAAACATTTTCGGTTTCGGCCTGACAATTTCTCTTGTTTCGGTTTTAAAATTTCCATTTCGGTGCACCTCTAGTTTCTGTATTTTGTTTGCTGACTTTTGACTATTAGATTGTAGAGCGTTGCTGAACTATTTATTTCTGTTTGTACCATATAGTTTGTTCACACACATGCACAGCTTACGGGCCTTGATTAGAAACAAATGAGTAGAAGTCTAATATGATTGCCATTTCTTCCTCTACATTTAAGGAAGCAGCACCGCTTGTCTAGTAATTCTCGATAGAACAAGTCATCGATTACACACAGCCAACTTAGGCGATTCTGGGTTTCTAGTAGTACGAGCGGGAGAAGTTGTACATCGGTCAGATGAACAGCAACATTACTTCAACACTCCATTCCAGTTGTCAATAGCACCGCCCGAAGCCGAAGGAGTAGTTCTTAGTGACAGGTATGTGTCCTACATGTGGTGTTAAGGTATCTCCAGTTACCTAATGAATTTTACATGTTTTACAGCAATGTTAACATACATATCGTTGTTATATGTTCTAATATAATAGCGAATAATTGCCAATTTCCTGAAATCATTGTATCATAAGGGGAACTTTTCCTCCTCTTTAAGGCCCTTTTACATTATCACTCCGACTGGGTCCGCCTGTCAGTTTTTCAGCGTTAGTCTATGGGCAGCCGTGTGTAACCAGATGGGCAGCCGTTTTCACCTGGTTATTCCAAACTCCAGCCGAGTCCAGTAAAACGAACAGAACACTTCCATTTCGCTGGACCAGATCGTGGATAATACGATTCCACATTGACTGGCATGGTGTGCCATAATTGCAGTTTTTTCCTCTACCCCAAGATGGAGGAGAAAAAAAAACTGTGCAGTGACATCTGCTCGGTACTACTCTGATCAGGAGAGGATCTGTGCATGGATCCTCTTCTGATCAGCCCACATGAAAGGGGCCTTAGGGTTATTAGGTACCTGACTTAGGTAGTCTGACCAAGGCAAAGCTGCAAAAACCTCCTGAGATTTAAAGTGGACCTTTTACCCCTTTTCACTAAAAATCACCTCATCATGCAGCTCTGTATGCTAATATGACATTATTTAAGTAATGATTGTAAGATGAACATATTTTTCTTTTAATTATTGTTTTTCCACTTCCTGATACTCTTCAGCATTAGTGATGCAGCCTGTGTCCAAGAGTTGCATCCCGGGAAGATTACATCAGCAATGCGCTGGGGAATTTCTCCTGCAATCTCATGAGATCTCAGGAAAAGGCATTTTCCTCCCCTGAGATAATGGGCATGGTCACATGACCTAGTCACATGTGCCAGAGTTCCAGGAAGTAAAGGGAGATCTATTAATCTGGTCTTAGTAAAAAATGGCTACTGTGAGAATATTGGGGAGGAAAAGAAAAATAAGGAATATAAAGAGTAAAAAGCCGGCAATTATTTAGAAGAATGTGATTGTAGAGTGTCACTGCTAAACATTTCTACAGGTGTATTTGTTGTCATTTCTAAGATAAGGGTAAAGGTCTGCTTTAACAGTTTTGTATCTATAAAGCCCCTCTTGCAGTCGGTGATCAGGGGCTTGTTGCTAAACTTACAGGCTTAGCCTTTTCTGCGTTAAAATCAATGTAAATGATGCATTTTGTTTTTTATTCCGAGATATGAACACGCCTTCTATCTGACCTCTCGTTTGCTTAGCACAGAACACTGGGCATGTGATCAAAGTGGTCTCATGTTGCTTTCACATCAGTGTAAAAAGAAATTCCAGCAGCACACGGTGTACTTGCAAAGCAGCTCCACACTTGGCAGCGAGCTTTCTTTTTTTAATGGGAGTGTACAGAAACCAGGCTGCTCATAGGATGTGTGGGAGTGCTCTTTAAATCACACGAGTAGACAGCATTGGCACACGGTGCACATTCAGTAGGAGCTTGACCATTGAACTCAACCTTGATTTGCAAATGAAAATGTTTTAATAAACACAAATGTAAAAATCTTGACTCCCAGTGTGCTTTAATATACAAGACTGTACATTTACAAATAACTGGTAGTAATGTGCACTGAAGAAACAAAAATGTACTTGCTGGGTATTTTGGATGAGCTGTAAAGGTACTGATACAATGATGGCTTACTAAAGTGTCTTTTTAATCTCTCACTCTCTTAATAGCCCCGATGCGGCAGACAGTAGTTCGTTTGATGTCCAGCTCGGTGACATTATTCTTACAGCCACTGATGGACTTTTTGATAACATGCCTGACTACATGATTCTTCAGGAGTTAAAAAAATTAAAGGTATGTCAAACGAATTAAAATGTAATCCTATTTGTTCTTGGGTATTTTTTTGGGGTGTTCCAGGCACGTGTGGTCATACAAGGGGTGAAATTTTTCTTTCTGTCATTTACAATTTGAATACCGCTGCGTTATATGGCGGGTAGTTGGGTTGTCCAAATACTAGCATTTTTCGATTAATCGGATTAAAAAAATTACCATCCTCAAAAGAGAACTATGGGGTAAGTGTTTTTCCGCATAGTTTTCTTAAGGGTCACTGGAGGACATATGCTTGCATTCTCACGTGACCCAAAGCTCAGTATACTGTTCGCTCACTTCCCGACCTATTGAGCCGACGTGCGACAGTTTCATTGTCACAGGTCGGCTAGAACTATGAGGTGAGTGATTTTTACTTGCGTCCACAGTTCTCCTTTAATTTTAAAATAAAATACACAAATTAAGTGTAACAAACATAATGTTTACTTCAGAAAAAAACTGCATGCACAAGTTTTTTGCAATCACACTGTACTGGAACGCACTGCATTGCAGTACCGTGCGTTCAAGTGCGGGTAATCACATTGTGGTTGGGAGGAGAGTTTGGGGTGCCATTGAAATGACTGGCACTGCAACACACCTCCTGCAGCAGAATTTGTCAGCAGGCTGAAACCAAAAATGATCAGCTGAATGTAAATACAGCAGGTAGTGGGCTGGTGCAAAAGCCAGCCTGCTATTGGCCATTTCAAATTGCAATAGCAGGCTGGATATTGCACCCGCCAACTGCTTGCTGTGCCCTCCTCCCAGCAAGGAGGAAAGAACTAGGAGATCCAACCAACTAATCCAATAATGAGAATAGTTGTCAACTATTCTCATTATTGATTATCACTTAATCAATTGGTTGCAACCCTAGTCTGCAGCTACTACAGTGTATTACTGGATCCCATTGCTCTGCCAGGGAATATGTATATTGTATTGTAACTGTAATGTCTTCCTTATATTGTAAAGCGCTGCACAAACTGTTGGGGCTATATAAATATTATGTAATAATAATAAAGATGGAGTTCTGCTTTAAGAGCACAGTGCTTAGTTTAGTGATGATCACAGCTGTTTGCTCACAAAACAAATGAAAGCGGAAACAGTAGAGAAACCATCATTAAGTTTAAGATCTGTCTGTGGGACACTGTCTGCCTTACAAGCTGCATGTTGGTTCCAACACTATCTCCTTTCCCTGAACAGGTGCTGCACAACCCTAAATTTGCATGCTTCTTGTCAGTCAAACAATCTAGAAGACACATTTCCAGTGACAAATGATATACATTTTAGCAACTCTGTAATGGGTTAATAGAAGCAGTGTTCCTTATGTTGGCAGTTCTTTTGTTAAAGCAAATAACTAGTGTTCTAAAATGGTTAAATTAGTGAAAGTTGCTTTCCAGGGTAACCAGCCAGGCAAATGTATTTGAAAGCGAACTAGTTTTCTATTGTTATGGGTAAGAGCTCAGACTTCTGTTCTCTATCACCTTATCAGAACAACATACTTTGGAAGGATGTGTTTAGATCAGTATTCTATAGTCATATTGTTTCTGCTTCTCTCCAGAATGCAAACTATGAAAGTGTACAACAGACAGCCCGCAGCATTGCAGAGCAAGCTCATGATTTAGCCTACGATCCCAATTACATGTCACCATTTGCACAATTTGCATGCGACTATGGACTGAATGTCCGAGGTAAGTCTGGGATTTGATGTGCGAGAAGCTGTAGTTATTATACATGTGAATGTTTTATAAGTTTGCCACAAACCTGATACTTTTACACTGTGGCAAAGAAAGCAATGTGTATAGAGCTGCAGCTAATGGTTATTTTCAAAATCGATTAGTTAGCCAATTATTACGTTCGCTTAATCGGATAAAAAAATAAAATAATTGTTAAAAAATAGCTCCAGTGATAGGACTACCAGTTTGTATTGAGATTGCAGTCCATCACAGGAGCAAGCTTGGAGCGGTAGAAGTAAAAAAGAAAAAAAAAGTGTGGTGTGCAATATAGTGAAATGAAAAGTGTAAAATTATACAGCAATCAATGCAGAATGGCATCGACTATAGAGGACTAAAAAACCCAGCAATAATACATTATACAGCACAATGCAGAATACCACCAGCTATAGAGGACTACAAAACCAAGCAATAGTACATTATACAGCGCAATGCAGAATACCACCAGCTATAATGTACTATTGCTGGGTTTTGTAGTCCTCTATAGCTGGTGGTATTCTGCATTGCGCTGTATAATTTACTATTGCTGGGTTTTGTAGTCCGCTATAGCTAGTGGTATTCAGCATTACGCTGTATAATGTACTATTGCTGGGTTTTGTAGTTCTCTATAGCTAGTGGTATTCTGCATTGCGCTGTATAATGTACTATTGCTGGGTTTTGTAGTCCGCTATAGCTAGTGGTATTCAGCATTACGCTGTATAATGTACTATTGCTGGGTTTTGTAGTCCCCTATAGCTAGTGGTATTCTGCATTGCGCTGTATAATGTATTATTGCTGGGATTTGTAGTCCTATATAGCTGGTGGTATTCCGCATTGCACTGTATAATTGCTGGGATTTGTAGTCTATACAGCGCAATGCAGAATACCACCAGCTATAGAGGAATACAAATCCCAGCAATACATTATACAAACAAATGTATTGCTGGGATTTGTATTCCTCTATAGCTGATGGTATATTGCTCTGTATAATATACAGTGCAGCAGAATGTACCATCAGCTATAGAGGAATACTAATCCCACTATCCCAGCAATACATTATAGAGCACCATGGGGGGGGGGAGTGCAGGCTTACCTGAGCAGTCTTCCAGCAACTTGTTTCTGAGATCGGGCCTGTCTGTCGTCGGCTGTCATCCGCCCACACCTGCTCCTCACTACTTGTCCCTGTGGCGATCGTGGATGTGGGCGGGGAGGAGGTGCAGCGTGTGGAGCGTGGATGCGGCCAGGCGGGTCTGGCAGCAGCGAGCGCGAGGTGGGGACGAGGTGTGGATCCGTGAACGGAGCCAACCAATCGGAAGCCGATTAATCGATGATTGAAAAAGTTGACAACTTTTTCAATCATCGATTATGTCAATTAGTTGTTGCAGCCCTAATGGCCATCAATTGTAAAGGTTTGTAATGCATCTTCTGTTTGCAGTTAGGGGTCTGGCAGTTTTTTACCATTTCACAAGAGCACACAATTTTGACATATTTTGGTACCTATTCATTCAACATAGTCGCATCTCTTATATTTAACAGACCGTTTTGAGATGATCTTGTGTGAGGGCACTCAAATATTGTTTTTAGAGTATCTTTTACTATAAAGTAGAGATTTAATAACCAATTGTGCGAATATAGTGAGACATTCTCATCAGATCTGTGCATTGTAACATGGGAATCACGCCTATATAGATACTGACGGCATTTGCGTAGCAAGGATCTACAATGAAGCAATAAAGACTATATGTTCCCTGTATGTAGGTTTACTTTAACTCTGTTCTGCCTTTCTGAATTCCCTTTGAGTTCATGATATATACAGGTGAAACTCGAATAATTAGAGTATCGTGCAAAGTTCATTTATTTCACTAATGCAACTTAAAAGGTGAAACTAATATATGAGATAGACTCATTACATGCAATGTAAGATAGTTCCAGCCGTGATTTGTCATAATTGTGATGATTATGGCTTACAGCTCATGAAAACCCCAAGAACCCCAAATCCACAACCTCAAAAAAGTAGATTATTACATGCAATCAATAAAACAAGGATTGTACATAGAACAATATCGGACCTCTGAAAAGTACAAGCATGCATATGTACTCAGTACTTGGTTTGGGCCCCTTTTGCAGCACTTACTGCAATTACTTTTGCACGATATTCTAATTATTCGAGTTTCACCTGTATATGAATATTCCTTGTGAGTTGGACTGTTCTAGAGACTTTCATTATATAAACCTTTTTCATCCAGGGTTCCATAGCACCCTAGTGTGCCTTCTGCGTTCCTCCAGGGGTGCCTTGAAATGTTCACACAGCATCATGCCTTCACATGGGAAAAGCAGGCTTCTGATGTGAAAGGGGACCCCTGGAATGAAGGGGAAACCCTGTTTTGTTTTTTGTGTTACTGTGTGAAGTATTCCCTAAAATTCATACAAGACCCCTATCTGTGATGAGGATCTGGCATGGATTTTGGAAGGGGCCACTTATCATGTTTAACATTTTAAACTGGTGTCCTCAAAACCTACATTTAAAGGGTGCTGTGACTGAAAAAAGTTTGAGAAACGCTGCTCTAGAACATAACACTAGGCCCCATTCACACTGTGCGATTTGCATTTTGCGCGATTTGTCGCGCAAATGCTTGCATTGCAAAGAATGGAATCGCGGCAAAATCCGCTCCAAAAAGGGTCCTGCTGTAGCGACCCGCGACAGCAGGACCCTTTGCCCCATTGCCTTGCATTGGAGAGCGATATCGCGCGGTAAATTGCCGCGCGATAAATCGCTCAATGTGAACGGGGCCTTACATGGCTTTCCAGGATGCCAACTTGAGGCTGTTTTAATAATCTCGCATATGATACTGTGACGGTTAACAATGTTTACTAACTTTTTTTCCCTTTTTTTTTTTTTTTTCCGCCATAGGAGGAAAGCCAGATGACATCACTGTTCTTCTTTCAATTGTCGCTGAATATACAGACTGAGATTCCTGAAACATCTACAAATTTAGCCTTTTTTTGTAATTATTCCTGTACAATGCTAGGACTAATGATGTGTTACACTGTATCCTGCGGGCAGGACTGCAGTTTACTTTCAGCGTATTTTTATCAGCCAGTTCTGAAAGAAGTGAAATGCTGTCCACAAATGGAGACTGGGGTCTTCATAGGAACCACTACTGTTTAATGGTTTAGATATTGCTTACAGAAGGAACTTGCCTCAAATGCTATAATCAGTTTCTAGTCCTATACACATGCATGCTTTTGGGGGGGGTGTACGCACATAAGCAATAGTGTGTTTGCCATGTGACCTGTGTGCTGTGCAGCAACAACACTGAGCCTTATTTGTTCATTATTTAACACTGTATTGCTCCAGGGCAACCCACTAGATCCAAACGTACATGATGCAACTGACTTTTTCCAGTGCAAGTTTATCTCCTGGACTCTGGCTATGGGGGTAATACAGACAGTACAAATTTCAGCCTTTTCAATAAGTGGGGCTCACTAATGGGCTATAGTCTGAAAGCTGGGACAATTAGTAACAAATTGGAGGTTTAAAGATTACATTGACATGTGTGCTACTCGTATCCGTTTCCCTAACAGTCCTTGTGATCATCATTTTTGTACCAAAGCTGATAAGTTTCAGCCGGGACTGTAAGCTCAGAACCTTTGTTAGATATCGTAGGTGGCACTTCACAAACAAACCTGCATGGAAAGGCATATGGAAGCTTCTATTGCTGATGAATATGTAGAGGCCAGTTATCTGACTGTATAGTACTTTCAGTAACTGGCCTGAAACAAGCATGCCGATGATAAAAGTTGGAGTCAAGTCAGCACTCCAGAGCAGGACACTTGTTCTGTGTCAGTGACAAAAAGTAATGAAGCCATTGGATCAGCATGACAGGCAGTGATCTAGTATTTTCAAAAGAGGTCATTAGTGGCAGCCTCCAAATGTCCTTTATTACAGGTTTTCTATAAGCAGAATCAATCAGAATAACAATATGGGAACTGCCAATAATGACTAGTCTTGAGGATGCATACTCCTGGAATGATCTATATCTTCTCAGTGAGTCTCTGCCACAGAACACGCATATGAGGTGTCGGGACACCTTATATACATGTGCTTCTCCCAGGTCCGTGACTCACTAAGTGGTAAAATGAAGGATCAGGACAACTGCTCGGGAGTAGGCACCATATTTCTGATTGGTAACGTTCACTTGTCTTGCTAAATTAGTCAGGAGGTTTGGTCTGAACCTGAGCTCCTCTGATCCTGGAAGGAAGCACCTTTCACTGCAACCCAATCGGCTGTAGCTGGGGAATTCCCTGCCTGCAGCTGCACATAAGCAAAACGGTGGGATGCAGCGATGTCATTGACCTTATATGGCCACATGGCTATATTTGGTCAATGGTGTTGACCTAATGTGACCATTTAAGGTCATTGACGTGAGTCCAAGTGACTGATTGGGCAGGTGGCCCCATGTCAATTCTTGGTTCGGAGCAGCTCATGTTTGGTCCAAACCGGAGCTTATCCCTGGCCTGGAATGCAGACTGTACAACAGACATGTGCAGTCTGTATTCCAGAATATATCCTTGTGTACTGCACTCGCTTCCTGCTAAGGATAAGGTGCCAGTGAGCAGCCAGCACACTGTAGATTAGCTGCATGGCTGCGTAAATGTGTGTGTCTCCCCTACCACGTGCAGATTCAATCTATTCATGCTTAGTTTTGTCAGAAGCATTGTTATTAATTATTTTCAATGCTTTTTACAGTGATGTAAAGTGTTATATTGCCAAAAAAGCACACTTGGTAAACCTCCGAAGCCATTAGGAATAGTTTTCATGCTTTTATATTTTGATCGTTCCATATTTCTAAAGTTGAATGAAACTTCAATTTGGCCCCCATCTTAAATCACATGACCTCAGCTAGAAACCTTTGATATACTGAATTGCTGTACAATACAAGGAGTTCCTTCCAGTGTTTATTATGTAATCTCTAACTTAAAGCCATGTTTATATATGTGTTATATACAGATCTGTATATAATATATATTTTGGGTAACATTTAGTGACTGGGCAGTGAAGTTGCATTTGTCGCTGATATTTTTGGAAGCAACTTTCTTATCAAATTCTTCTTGGAGAAATGTTGGGTATAAGATTGCTACTCAGAAAGATTCTGTGACTGTAACCTCATTGCATTTAATCTGTGCTGCGTGCGTGTATGTTACCTCATATTGTACATTATTTTTTTTCCTTCATGTTTGTGGAATTGTACTGTATATTTGCATACCCATGTCGAGCTCTTATTTAAGTAATGTTGTGTTTTTTAACATGTACCATGTACATGTCATAACGTTAGCACATCATGCTTGTAACAGGCATTGAATTCACAATGGTAATGAGAGGTTCATTTGTAAGCAGTCAAAAAAATCGTGTTCTCTTGCTAATGTGGTATGTTGTCCATGTGAGGTCACATTGAATGACTTCTGATATTGCCTTAATTGCTAAAAACTTGATAAAGCAGCAAAAACCAGCATATGAAATCGCAAAGAACATCGTTTTTACATTTCTTTGGCTTTTTTTTTAACAAGCCTTATAATTTATCTGGATTGCTTATAAGAAAACCAATGTGTCCCTGTTTTGTGTTTGCCTCATTTCCCCAGAGTAAAAGATTAAGACAAAAAACAAAACAGAAATTTTATGTAGAAAATCCGCAATGTTGGTGTTTATTTTGGTGAGAAATTCAAGCATGAATGAAATGGCAAATGGCTCTGTGCATGTATATGATAGTTATGAGGTTTATTCTTGTCCCTAGATCCCAGTTGGTGAATAGAGTGACACTAAACTCAGGAGTTAAAAATACATTCAAGTACCCGAACTAATAACAGAAATGTATCTTATTTGTACATCAGTCAGCTGTAGATCCTCAAATCATCTCTGAATTGGTGCTGACACTGTCCTTCCTTCTGGAGGGTGGCTACTTTTGTTCCCCATGGTCCCTGTGTGTGTTGTAAAGTAACCACCCTGCAGAAGAAAAGACAGTGACAACTAATTACTGGATATGTAGTAAGTGGCTTGGTGATGGTCGACATAGAACGTAATGATGGCTTACAGTACTGTAAAAATTAAAAGCAGCACTAGGCCAAAGGATACTGCAGATAGAGAGCTCTGATGTTCTGGGGTTCTAGGACAGGCTACAGGTTTTACTGGGTCAAGCCACTTAGGAGTCCCAAAGGGGATGAGGAAAGGTAGGCGCTGACCAGTGTATGATGCTAATTCAGTCAACTAAGCAAACTGGGCGTGAGGTGGTGTCAAAGGTTGTTCATAGTGCTGTTTCCTACTCTTTACTTTATACTCCTTTTGGCTCTAGGGTGTGTCAGGAGTATGTCAGTCACATGTTGCTGCCCAGAATTACTCTGCCAAATAAAATGGTTCTCGATGATATGTAACAACTGTGCTGTATGCATTAAGAGATAACTGTGATAAATATGCTCTTCAAGATAAGCGACAGGTACATTGCGCAAAAAGCACTGCACATTCAAAGCAAGCTGCAATCTGGTGCTATTTCCCATGTGCTATTATATTCTGTAGGTCAAGGCAATGTCAGCTGTTATGTTTAAAGCAGTTAGTTTTTTAGTAAGGGTCATATACAACGTAGACTTAAAGGAGAACTAGGGGGTCAGGGCTTTTCCCCATAGTTCTCCTTAGGGTAACGGGAGGACACAAACTAGCGTCCTCCCGTCACCCTAAGCTCAGTATACCGCAAACTACTACTCGCGGTATACTGAGACGCCGGAGTGGATCCCGACAATTATGTCTGGATCGCCCAGCTGTGTGAGTGACAGCTGGCTCTGCCTATCTAGAGGCAGAGCCAGCTGTACCCTCCCCCGTCTGATCCGCCAGTCAGCACTGGCGGATCGGAGAATCCAACCCCTCCCTTGTCACGGCAGAGAGCCGTGACAGGGTCGAGAGGTGAGCGAGCGCCGGTATGTGTTCGCTCACCTCCCGATCTACTGAGCCGACCTGTGACAGTCTCATTGTCACAGGTCGGCTAGAATTATGAGACTGAGTGAAAAGCACTTGCCTCATAGTTCTCCTTTTTTAAAGGAGAATTATGGGGCGAGTGATTTTCACTCAGTCTCATAATTCTAGCCGACCTGTGACAAAACGGACGGTGGAGGGGCGGGTACAGCTGGCGCTGCCTCTAGATAGGAAGCGCCAGCTGTCACTCACGCAGCTGGGTGGATCCAGACAGCAATGTTGGGATCTGTCCCGGCTGCGGCGTCTCAGTATACGGCGAGCTGCAGCTCACGGTATACTGAGCTTAGGGTTACGGGAGGACGCTAGTTTGTGTTCTCCCGTGACCCTTAGGAGAACTATGGGGAGAAGCCCTATGCCCATAGTTCTCCTTTTAACCTCATTGGAAACATTTGTAGCCTTATTGCTATAGTCCACCTCTGTTCCGGACATAGAGCTGTGTAACCTCAGCGTAGACCATTTCATTAGCGTTAAGATACCTTGTCATATACAGTATACTAATGGCAATTTTAGAGCTGACATTGCCAACTTCCTCTTATAAAATGTCAGCCCTGCTTGAACGTTTAAAGGAAACCTGCCAGGGAGAGGTGCTTTCAGAAAAGGAGACCAGCAGTGAACTTTCTCAATACAGTTTTTCTGTAAAAAATAATGTAAAAAAAATGTAAAAGTGCCCTAGTTCTTACAGACCCATCTTTTCCTTGCATAAGGCCACACCTAAATACAATGGCATGTTACAAGGTCTTTGTAACACCTAATTCATGGCATAACTGCGTGCATTGTAGCATGAGCAACCAGGGGCATTGCACCTTCTTCTCATGTTGTATTTATGCAACACAATTCCACAAAGATGACTGTCCACTGCATCAGGGGGAGAAGATAACTGACCTTAGAAAATGGCTAAGATGCCCATGTTTAAATAAAGCCTTTATGTGTATAGACCGAGGATATAAATAAACAACGTACACTTTCAATTCCTTTTCCCATGTGATCTTGTCCCAGGCCGAGTACACCGATTCCTAGATTAACTGACTGATGGCCTTTGTCGCTTTTGTTTGCTTCAAGTGGGTTAAATCCCCATACAGCTTAGCTTAAAGCAGGTCAGAAGGAAGCCAACTGGTGGTCATATACACCTGTAAATGGAGGGTATCAATTCTAAACAGGAGCAGCGAGACAAAAGGTTACAGCTTGATTTGTAAATTCCTCCCTCAGCTCCTGCAGAGAAGCACTGTGACAGACCAGTTCCAATCTGTCATGTCCAGTGATACGCAGTTAACCTGCCACATGGACTTTGCTAAATGAGGGTAGGCCTGCCCCCCTTCATTCATTTAGGACATCTACCCCTGCTCCAGCAGCATCTGATGCAGATATCCCAGGAGGCATCAGCTTACAGAGAGCGGCTGGAGGAGAGCAGACCCGGCAGCACTTCATTAGGGA